CGAGTTGCCTATTTAACTGTAGAACGTTACCATAAAATATCAAGTCAGGCCTAGCACAATGTCTGATTATCGTTCAAGTAATTAATTCTTTCGCATTCATTTTTAAGATTAAGTCTTTTTACCGACTGCATTGAGTTAGGTTAGGAGCTTCCGCGGGGCCGATGCTGGGGTCCCTGACAAGCCCTTTCAACTCACCTTCAGGTTGTCGCCGTAATGCTCTAGCAGAGCTGGAACGAAGTCACACCCTCCACAATGATGATCTGAGCGCTCGCAGTCAATGTGAAGCTCCCTGACCAGGCGCGTGCAACGGAGCGGGTTTGCTCCTCCAGAGGAACAATCGACACGGACGGCACGCAAGGCGGGGGCCGCCAACGTCCAGACCGGGCGGGGCTGAGACCACCTCACAAAGGTCGCCTCCACGTGGCTCCAGGCGTGGCGGTCGCGGGCCACGGCTCGCAGCGCTCGGCACACCCGGCCCAGCTGGAACAGGTTCTGCCCCTCCAGGCAGCGGCACACGCGCAGCAGCACCTCCACGCTCAGGCGCAGGATGGCCGCGTCCTGCAACACAACACACCGGTCAGCCGGGTCAGCCCACGCAGCACAGCTATGCAGCCGAGCAACTCACGGCAACTTGTCATCGCTGGAGAACCACACACTACAAACCTAACTGTCTACTAAGTACACACTTACAAATGCATGCTTCCAAGTACTCACTTACAAACGCATGATTGACGCATGAAGTTATACGGCCTCAAGCATGCGTTTGTTAGGGTGTACTTGGCCAAGCGTGCGTTTGTAAGTGTGTACTTGGAAGCATGCAAGTGTGTACTTAGTAGACAGTTAGGTTTGCAGTGCAGACAAGAGTTTGCTTTGTCATGCACTCTAATCGGAAGGTGACGCGGAGGATTCACAAATTGTGGGTATCCCTGCAAACAGCCTCTGTGAGGGCGGGAAAGTCTTGAGTCCACGTAAGTACCGTACAAACAGATTTACGCCAAGTGTGTTGAATATGTCCATGTCAGTTGAGTTCAATATGTCCATGTCAACACGCCCAACTTTCTACTGAGAAATGCTGTGTAGTCACACAGTAAATAGAAATGGCAGAATCCGTAACGGTTCGGCACAGAAACCGCCAGTGAATGATTCTGAATTTGGTAGTCACAGAAACTGGCATGGACTCACAGAAACTGACAAAGGCTCCACAGAAACTGGAACGGGCTCACAGAAACTGCTACGAGATTACGGTCTCGCTGGCCAACCTAACCTCACTGCGTCTCTGGACGCTTTTGTTGTTTTGAACATAATTAACATATTTTGATGAGTGTGGGCGAGCCCACACGGGAGGAGCCCAATTGGCGACTTGTCGCCAAGCGCTAAATCACGGAGCGATTTGACCCTTCCGAGGAGCCCAAATCGCGACATGTAGCTCAATCTGGGAACCCTGGTGCTGATGACAAAAATAGAACCCGTTCTAACCCGATCTGAAGTGAAGTTCCATTAGTGAAGATATTGATCACCAAATTGTAATTTTTGTGGGGATCACGCTCATTCCTACGGTTTGACTGGGAAAGCTGTCTGCCGAAGGCAGGCTAGCGCCGCAGGCCAAGGTAGGTGCATACGCCAGGCGTGGATTGTCGAAACTGGCGCAGCATCGCGAAGCCTGTTACGACAAAACACGGGCTGGCGTACACCTGCCTTGTGTATTTAACAACTGATCGTAAGGGTGACATAAAGTTTACGACAGTGGGTTCCTTGAGCCACTTACTTGATAGGTTCCCTCAGGGCCCTCAGAACCAGGGTGCTTGTCGCCGCCAGAAACAGCGGACGGGGAGGCAGTCGCGGATGCCGTCTGGACGTCGCCTGCGTCGACCGGATTCTGCGCGTCCGCCATCTTGGAGCCGAGCTGCGGGCAGAGAGCACACTTCGGAACACGTTGCTGGGTAATTCCACGCCAACTTGAACACTCATAAACCTGACGTCGTCCGATTTCAACCAAAATTGGTGAATCGCCACCAATTAGTGTCTAGAATGACCCCCTAAAATGGTTTTGGCCAATAGCCAATAGTTCCGGAGATATAGCACTTCACCATTTTTGGCCATTTTCCAAGTTACAGAAACAGTGTTTCACTTAAGTGCCATTATCTCAGCTCCTATTGGACTTACAGGTCTGATTCTGTGCTCATTGGAAAGGGAATGAAATTTTGCATCAAAATGTGGCACTCTTAGGTTGATAGGTCAAAAACTTAAATAAATGTCTTTTTCGATTAAATGTTTAACTTGAAAATGTCGTTTCCAAAATACGTCATCCTGAAAAAAAAAATTTTCTTCACCAAAAGATCTTCTAAGGTGTCTACTTTAATGTCCTAAAGTGCTTCAAAAAGTATTTGAGTTTTGCAGTATTAGCAGGGGAAACCGTGATGAAATGTGCCCAAAAAGTGCACTTTTTTCACTCTTCGACTCTTCGCCCAGCCTCCGATGGTACTGTTGCAGTCCCACTCCTTCACCACCCTCAAAACTGTTACTCCTATGCCCAGCATCGATTGGTATGTATCAAAGTAATTGTTTGAGTAAGTCTGAGCGTTCAGGGAAGGGGTCAGATCAAATTCCAGCTTAGAACTTTGCGTAACAAGACATCAAATCGACTACTGAGTAACTCCATTCCAAGGTGGACCAAGATGTGGGATTGGGTCACGGATTCGGTTCAAACTTTGTGGGTTCAATAGGTACCACTAGTACCTATCAACCCTAAAAGGAAAGTTGGCTAGCTCAATTAGAAACTGATATATTTGCATTTTTCTAAATTTGACTAATTTAGCGGAAAAATGTCGCTTCCTGATTTTTTTATGGTAAAAGTTGTTTTCTTTAGTTCTGGGTTATGATTCTTCTTTCTAGTCATATAAAAAGAAAAAGAAAGGTGGTGGTAGGCCAAGTTTTGTACGTTGCTTGGTTTGGCCTACTTGAGCAATTTTGTCGAATTCATCGAAACTTTCATACCCAAAATACGCCACCTTGGATTTGACCCTGGTACGTCTCATTTCACTTCTTTTACTGTAATAAACAATTGCTTTATAGTCCCTGGTGGTCCCTGGTATAGTCCCTTTATAGTCATAGTTAAAAGGGCTCACAACCTACTACAGCAAGCTAACTAATGAACCACAAATCAACTTTTGGCAGACACATTACATTTTCCTCCGATTTAAATTCTTCACACCCCTCGAAAACTAGTAAAATTTGCTCGAAACAATTTCATTATAAAGTTTTAGTGCACCTTGAGTTTGGGTTTCTTTGTTTGTGTTGATACTATCTAAATTGTGGGCAAGGAGGATCTTTCCTATCACCCATGGTCATGTAGAAGCCCCAATCTTGACGAAAGCGCCATAATTAGGTCAAAGTAGAAAATTGAGAAATTTGTTTTTTATTTTTCTGGCCTATATGGAATTGTTGGTGCTAGGGACTATATAGCAGATGTTTATTAGAGTAAAAGAAGTGAAATGAGACGTACCAGGTTCAAATCCAAGGTGAAGTACTTTGGGTTTGAAAGTTTCGATGAGTTCGACAAAATTGCTCAAGTAGGCCAAACCAAGCAACGCACAAAACTTGGCCTACCACCACCTTTCTTTTTCTTTTTATATGACTAGAAAGAAGAATCATAACCCAGAACTAAAGAAAACAACTTTTACCATAAAAAAATCAGGAAGCGACATTTTTCCGCTAAATTAGTCAAATTTAGAAAAATGCAAATATATCAGTTTCTAATTGAGCTAGCCAACTTTCCTTTTAGGGTTGATAGGTACTAGTGGTACCTATTGAACCCACAAAGTTTGAACCGAATCCGTGACCCAATCCCACATCTTGGTCCACCTTGGAATGGAGTTACTCAGTAGTCGATTTGATGTCTTGTTACGCAAAGTTCTAAGCTGGAATTTGATCTGACCCCTTCCCTGAACGCTCAGACTTACTCAAACAATTACTTTGATACATACCAATCGATGCTGGGCATAGGAGTAACAGTTTTGAGGGTGGTGAAGGAGTGGGACTGCAACAGGACCATCGGAGGCTGGGCGAAGAGTCGAAGAGTGAAAAAAGTGCACTTTTTGGGCACATTTCATCACGGTTTCCCCTGCAAATACTGCAAAACTCAAATACTTTTTGAAGCACTTTAGGACATTAAAGTAGACACCTTAGAAGACCTTTTGGTGAAGAAAATTTTTTTTTTCAGGATGACGTATTTTGGAAACGACATTTTCAAGTTAAACATTTAATCGAAAAAGACATTTATTTAAGTTTTTGACCTATCAACCTAAGAGTACCACATTTTGATGCAAAATTTCATTCCCTTTCCAATGAGCACAGAATCAGACCTGTAAGTCCAATAGGAGCTGAGATAATGGCACTTAAGTGAAACACTGTTTCTGTAACTTGGAAAATGGCCAAAAATGGTGAAGTGCTATATCTCCGGAACTATTGGCTATTGGCCAAAACCATTTTAGGGGGTCATTCTAGACACTAATTGGTGGCGATTCACCAATTTTGGTTGAAATCGGACGACGTCAGGTTTATGAGTGTTCAAGTTGGCGTGGAATTACCCTGCTACTTCCAGCTGAACGTGAAGTGGACCATTGCAAAAGAATCCGACCGACCACCCCGGCCGGGTTTTCCGATCTTCTAAATCGTTCCTATTCTTTTCCAATCAAGAAGTACATGGTGAAGGAATCACTCAAAAAAGTCTACGAACATCTGCTTCATAACTACGAAGGAAATGAAGGCGTTGTATAATTGCTTCGTATCATGAAGAAATGCTTCGTATTGCGAAGGATTTTGCTTCATAATACGAAGCATTTCTTCGTAGATTTTACAATGCCTTCGTTTTCTTCGTATTACAAAGCGTTGCTTCGTAGACTTTTTACTGTGTACTTATGGTACCTTGCGCAGGGAAATCAGCGCGCTAACTCGAGGGGTCCTATTCAAAAGATCTCACACGCTCAGACCTATAAGGACTTTTTTCTCTCTTGCTTATAGCGGTTTTTGAGCAAACGTAAAATGTACTATTTTCTCCTTAACTATGCACAATTTTGATCGTTTCAGGGATATAATTGTCAATAGATCATGTAGAAATTGAAAAGTACTTTGCAAATGACATTAAGTCCGGTTTAATGAACTATAAACATTACACAATGAACAAAATAGTGCACAGCCAAAAAGAAAATAGTACATATTACGTTTGTACAAAAACCTTTATGGCAAAAGATAAAAAGTCAATACGAGTCTGAGAGTGTATCTGCGCGTTCCCCCGAAGACCATCTTATCTTAAACGCGGGTGAATTTCACTCAGTTTGACCATTTGGGATGGGTACGAGAGAAAGCGGGATATATTTCTGTATGCACTATTGGTTTCTTTGATCTTTCATCTTTACATTTCAGTGAACTTAATCACAAATTATATTGATTTGTAGCTGTATCAAATTATCAAACTGAGTGAAATTTGCTTGCGTTTAAGATACGATTGTCTTGGAGGGGACGCGCAGATAAGATCTTTGGAATAGGACCCCTCCAACTATACCACCACTGAATTGAACGGTTTAGACTAGACGTTAAGACCGGAAAACTCGGCCGGGTGGTCGGATGGTGGTTTTACAAGTGGTAGTACGGAAACTGTCAACAGTATCACATCCAAATATATTATGATTGGCTGAGCGATAGCGAAGCCTGTTACTTCAGTGGGGTTGAAAAGTTTTGTCTGTCTGTCTGTCTGTCTGTCTGTCTGTCTGTCTGTGTGTCTGTGTGTCCGCACTACTCCTCCTGAACGGCTCGGCCGATCTCGGTGAGATTTTGCACACTTTTTGGGTATGTCCTTGGCTCGGCACACGCGACATTTTACTATCCTAGCTCAACTGGTTCAGTTTTTATAGCCGAAAAACACCTAACAAACGGCGAAAAATCGAGTTTTCTGCAGATAGATCACTTCTGTCTTGGAGAAGGGGGGGTCTCCAGCCTCGACAAGTTAAAAAGTGACAAGGGTCAAGATCGTTTTATCTGTAGAAAAACAACCCTATTTAGAATGTAGGGGGGTCGGGGTAGGGGGTTGGGGGGGCATGCAACAAAGTAAAAAAATAACCGACGATGGACAAGCCATTGCCTGCCGCAGGCAGGCTAGCGCCGCAGGCCAAGGTAGGTACGCCAGGCGTGGATTGGAGGAACAGGCAGCGAGACATCGCGAAGCCTGCTACGACAAGACGCGGTCTGGCGTAAACCTACCTTGTTAAGTTTGGGAACAATGTGGATCTAACAAGAAATTACATTTGGTAAGAAGTTAGAAACTCTGCAAATCCAAAAGGGAGTCCAGAAGACCCATTTTTGTTGCCCAAGGTTTGTCGGAGTCCCCACACTCTACAAAAAATGTCCTGTCAACGCCGTTAATTTATGACCAATGTTTGCTGTTATGCAGTTCACGGCGTTTGCTGTGAACTAGTTCACGGCGTTCACTGTGATCTGCCCACAGTAAACGCCGTGAGTTTGAACCTGATTTGCAGCACTTCGGTGCTCAGCGGCGTCAAACTCACAGTGTTTACTGTGGACCAGATCACAGTGAACACCGTGAACAAAATCACAGTGAATCCCGTGAGCAGATCACAGTAAACGCTGTGAATTGACCTACAGTGAAAACTGGTAATAAACAAGGTAGGTTTACGCCAGACCGCGTCTTGTCGTAACAGGCTTCGCGATGTCTCGCGGCCTGTTCCTCCAATCCGCGCCTGGCGTACCTACCTTGGCCTGCGGCGCTAGCCTGCCTTCGGCAGGCATTGGCTTGTCCATCATCGGTTACTTCTACCTTGTTGCATGCTGGGGGCTCCAGACCCCCCTTCATTCTAGATAGAGTTGCTTCATCTACAGATAACACGACCT